ACATGCACGGAGAATTACACACAAAATGATGTCGAATTGTCCGTTTTGACGAGTATTCACGTAAACAGTTGATTACGTCTTAAGTGAACGTAAACAGCAGGGAGAACGTGTATCAGTACATTGCAACTGTGCATTCGGTTTTAAAGGGATAGCAGCCTAATATAGTTGCTATTGTCCGAGTCATTGATGTTAATCAAGTAACAAAAGAAAGACTTGACTGAAAAACTTTAGTAGCCCTAAAGATTAATCTAAATTTACTTATAGAAATAAATATGTCTGCTTGAAAGAATGAAGAATATGGTAAACAAGTTGCTATAAAGAATGCATAACCATTGGTATTTCATTAAAAAGAAGACCATGTTCTTGTTCTTGTTCTTTATGAGAAGTGGTTTTATTTAATTTTAACATAAAATTAAACATGTTGTGTGTCACCGCAGTTAAATCGTTGTCTGTCATGATAAAACCTTAATATCAAACCTATATAATGAGTTTGGAAATTTGAGAGAAATGCTTAATAAATGCACTGTAACTAAACCCATTAGATTTTAGCCGACTAAATTTACTGTAGATTTAGTCGACTAAAACCTCATGATATTTAGTCGACTAAAACTAAAAACAATTCAAATGACTAAAATATGACTAAAACTAAATCAAAATTTGCTGTCAAAATGAACACTGGTAGTAAATAAAAGATTTAGTCTTTTTCGTTTTCTACTTCAAAATTTCATAATTTCACATATAACAATGTTTTCTTGCCATTCTTTGAATACACACACACACATATATGTATATTTACATTTATGCATTAAGCAGATCCTTTTATCCAAAGAGCCCTTTTTTGTCAAATGGATTTGCAACACTTACTGTAAAATAACCCTCAAACTAACAGCATTTTTTAGATGATTCTGATGTGTTGTGATGTGTTATGACCACTAGAAACATTACCCGTCCAGATGAATTATGGGTCATAATGAGCCTCAGTTTGACCACAGACCAGCAGAGACAGAGGATCTGCAGTTAATTCAGATCAGATGCTCTACATGAAGTGTGAAACATTTACAGCATGAATTGTGTTCATATGTGCATCTGTTTGTTCCTCAGTGTTGACGCTTCATTAATTATAACGCGAGTGAGCATCCGATTTCAATGAACGGAGGCATCCAGTTAGTCACAACACTTGCAGAGCAGAAACAAATGTATTGAAAGTCTTTTATTTGTCATTTATCTCGACATGAGCCTCATTCACTCGCCCTCATGGTGCTTATAGGTTTGAGACATTGGTTGAAATAATGTTGAAACAACATTTAATGCAACATGGTTGTAAATGGGCAAACAGAATCAACATTAAATCAACATTAACATTTTAATTTACACATGACATTGAAACAACATTGCAACATTCAAAGTTGATTCAAATTCAAAGTTGATTTGCCCAACTGAAACAAAATTCAACAGTGATATAAAGTGTTATTTTAGAATTAAGAGACTGTTATAGATTTTTATTAATATCTTGAATAAGTTATTTTTATATTTTGTTTTAATTTTAGTTAAAGTGTTTTGCCATTTTTATAAACATTTAAAAAGGTAATCGTGACTTTTTACCTCATAAAGCCAGTTTCCAGAGACTGGAGTTCACGGAGCGCGGCGTAATTGAAATAGTTTCAGGCTGATAAAAACGGTGGAGGAGCGTGAGAAGGAGAAGAGGTCATCATGACAGCACTTTATATCCAACCCACGTTTACACACTATATAGAGAGCAACAGTCCAGTTCGGGAGGTAAAAACTCCATTCATTTTCTCAATAAGGCAATGCATCTTAGCAATGCATATTTTGATATATTTACGGTAGGAAATTTACGAAATATCTTCATGGAACATGATCTTTACTTAATATCCTAATTATTTTTGGCAAAAAAGAAAAATCTATAATTTTGACCCATACAATGTATTGTTGGCTATTGCTACAAATATCCCCCAGCGACTTAAGACTCCTTTTGTGCTCCAGGGACACATATGTTGTTTATTTTGTTGTTTATTTTGTTATTTTGTTGTTATTTCTCAGGCTAGACCAGCCTGTGCGCATGCGCAGTCATAGGTGCACGTCTCAGAGCACTGACTGTTTCTATCCACCTTATTTTTCTCATAAGAGCGGGCGCAGACATTTGTAAATTTAATGTGTCTGTCTTCCGGTGTCACCGCTTCCAGCTATTTTTAGCTCTACAAAACACCTCGTTTTGCGGCTTGATATTTCAAACTGGTGTGTCTTACCATATTATTTAAATGTATTATCCTAATTATGAACACACTGGTTTGTAGTGCAAAGTGTTTTACCGTTTACTGCACTGTGTTATTCTTCTCGTTATTTCCCTACAGCGGCTAATGAACCGGAAGTCTCGCACATTGACAAAAAACGGATTACTTCCACGATAAAAAATAAGGTGGATAGCAAGCAGAACTTCTAACAGCAGCTGCAGTGACGCGCTGACTTTACTCATTAGCAATTGGCTCTTTTGCTCAGAAGGTGGGGCTTTGTTCGATAGAGCGGCTATATTGAGTGTTGCATTTTTTGATTTTTAATAATAACTGCTAAACCTTTAAAGACAGAGCTCTTGTGAGCTCCGATCTGCATTGATTGTACTTGCTTTTGTTGAGGCCGTTCATATTAATTTAACTTATTTTTTTCAAACTCATGTTTAATAGCGTAATTTGCGGTGAAAAACTACATTACCCATGATGCTGTACAGAAAATTCCACCAATCAGAGAGTCACAGCGAGCAAAGTGCGCCAAGAGCACTGATCTAGAGCCCCGCGTGGGATTTCTTATGATGTGTGCACACGAAACGCGAAGCGAATATTTGCATCACGTTACTCGCTGTAATTTACTCACAGGATGTTTTTTGCATCACTCTCGCGAATAAATACATCAACATTTTTTATTTCAATTTTCTGATACAACCGGACGTGTCAATAAGCTCTTCGCTGATTGGCTTGCGTGACAACTCATCATGCGAATTTTCCACTCGAGTTCAAATATTTGAAGTTGCACGGAAGACGCGATTGAGGCGTATATCGCACGTTCGCAGAAATCGCGTTGCTCAATTCGCATTATTCGCCTCGTCCGGTGCAAATTCGCATCTATTCGCATCTTTGCATTGACTTTGCATGTAATCTACTCACACAAATAATTAAATTCGCTTTTGTCGCGCAATCAAAATTTGGGGTATTGAAATTGCTTTTGAATGAGCGCTCGCTGTTCACTTTCGGTTTTGCCAACACGCCACTCTGTGTAAAGCAGGTTGAAGCGACCCCAATAACGTGATATTTAGGCCCTGGAATGTGAATTGTACCAGGAGAACCCCGCCAAAAAAATTTGTATTTTAGCCCCCGAACACGATTTTTACTGGGGGACCCCCTCGAAAGCAATTGGGCTATTTTCAGGCTAGTTTTGAGTAGTAATTGGGCGGGTTTTGTAGCGAAAACCTGGCAACCCTGCACCAGACAGAGCTGTCGGCTATTCTTCCTATTGTAAAGTCATGCAGTGTGTAACCTCCTGTCGTCGTTCCATCGTGCAGTGTGAACACAGCAACAACTGAATACTACCCCAGATAGTCACGCAGTGTGAAACCAACAGTGATGCGACGTCTTTGAAAACCGTGCAGTGTGAACTTTGCATTACTCTCCACCCAAGATCAGTCAAATTTGACTCCTGCAGCTCGTGTCGGATGCAGGGTTGCCAAGTCTTTGTTTTTCCCACGCAATTGTGCTACCGTTAAACTGTTTCTGCGGGTTGATTTTTCCCTGTGGGTTAAAGGTTTGAAATATTGCATAAATTACATTTGACTGAAATATTTTGCATTCTACTTATGATAAAACTGCACTAGATGTTAAGTTTTGTGAAGGAGGGCCACTGGTAGGAAGCCTTTGAGCTGTGTTTATGATCAATGTGCATAACAGTGACTGTAAAATATGTATTTTAAGTAGAGAATCAGTTATTAAAAATTACATATTTTGAGTTTTGATATTTGGGATATGGTCATTGAGCTACTTTGGGCTGTTTTGACTGGCATGGGTTAGTATTGTCACGCAAACCTGGCAACCCTGACTATATGGATTTGCAGTTTGCAAGATCCTAGCTAACAAATTAGGTTATAGCAACGTTGTGGGAATGTTGTTTTGAAATGCTTCTAAGAACATTAAAATGTCCAGTTTTCTTGTGATTAGAACGTTATTTAAATGTTACAAAAATGTTTCGTACAACATTCTATTGACTTTATTTTTACCCAAAATATAACACTATTTGTATTTGAATCTAGGAACATTAAAATGTCCAGTTTTCAGCATTGATAATAATCAGAAATGTTTCTTGAGCAGCAAATCAGCATATTAGAATGATTTCTGAAGATCATGTGACACTGAAGACTGGAGTAATGATGCTGAAAATATAGCTTTGATCACAGAAATAAATTACATTTTAACATTTATTCACATAGAAAATAGTTATTTTAAATTGTAATAATATTTCAAAATTTTCACTGTATTTTTGATCAAATAAATGCAGCTTTGGTGAGCAGAAGAGACTTCTTTCAATTAATTATTATCACATTTTCTCAGATAGATATGTATAATAAATTGATAAAATGATCCCAATGGGCACTGGTTTCTGGGCCAGTCCAAAACCAGTTTTTCTGGCCCAGAAATGACTGTTTTCGTGTGAAATTCTGGCAGATTGAGCTCAGGCGTCCTGTCAGTGGATAAGAGGAATCTGTCTCACTCTCTCTGTCTGTTATCAGATATCTCAGCTCTGTCAAGCTTCCAGAAAACATGCTGTCAGTTCCACCAGTCGAGAAACTCAATCACAGCTGATAACAGACTGAACTGAGTGTGTGTGTGTGTCTGTGTGTGTGTGTGTGTGTGTGTGTGTGTGTGTGTGTGTGTGTGTTTGTACTCACACTCCTCCTCTTTGGGGTCGAGTTGAGTGACGCTGATTGACAGGCGGTCGACTCTCTCCTGAAGCGAATTCACTCGAAATGAGAAAGAATGAGCTTCATTAAAGAGCTCGCCGAACAAATCCTCCGCATATTTACCTGAACACACACAAAACACCCCAAAACAAAAGAAAAAATACATTATTTTCATGAGAATTAACCTCAGTTTTAGTTCTTCTCATGATTCTCTGGTGTGATTCTTATTACTGAAATAAAATGAGAGTTTATTTAAATCAGCATCAATTTAAGGCAGTTCAACAATGATGAATACATATACATAATATAAGTTAGCAAGTTATATAAAATAATAAAACTTTGTAAACAAAAAGTTATAAAAAAAAAGTTAACCGCATATATAAATAAAATATATAGAATATTTTTAATAATTT